TTAGTCAATTAGAAGAATAAGTCTTCCTGGCTTGTAGGAAGCAGTACGAGTCATGCTAGAAGATAGGAAATAGTTGCTCTGTTTTTCTATTTAAGTAACAAGTCTGTAGCTTGCTTTCTTTATCAATTAATCAAGAGTATTTTCAGTTTCATATCTCTTTACAAGTTAACAAGAACTGCATGAAGTTCAGGATTCGGGAAGCTATATTTTTCCTAGTTATTTCTATGGAATAAAATAGTATTCATGCTTTCTACGTGTGTGTATGTGCATTTAACATGACCCTTCATGAAAATTTATTGGATAAAAATTTTGAAAAATAACTCTGAAAACAAGAGAATCGGTTGGAATAGTTTTAGAATAGGACAAGGTTGACTCCATACTAGAAAGAACAAGGAACTCACCTGCTATTGTATTCGTTAACATACACTCACAGTTAGATATAAACCAATGAGTTCAAAATTACGTACTGATTATCTTGCTCGTATAATCTATATTTTTTTTTTGTAAAACAAACATAGTTATATAGATGGTTACGCTCCACTAAAGGAGGATTCATTTACAAAGGATAATAACAAAGCCATCGAGACTACTAATTTTGCAGCTATAAAAGGCAAGCGAAGAGCACACAAACAGAGGACAGAAGCAATCACTACACATAAACAGCAAACGTCTAGAGAATTCCTCTTATCTCGACAACATAAGGCCTAAGCAGTGGAATAACGCTGTGGGAGATTAAGAACACAACCTGTGAACTAACACCCGTGATTGATACCGCAACTAGTGCGGGATTAACAATCTTGAAATCGGCTGCACTAATAAGTGTTGAGCCTTTAATAAGTACAGAAAGCGAGTCATCTATATCAAGTTCTTCCAATCCAAAAGTTGACCATGCGACACAACAACAACGGTACACAAGCCAAGGAACAATGAAAGATGAAGTTGGACCTAAAGGAATGGAGATAAGTAATTGGAGCATCCAACAAGGCATAAATATGTAAGTTAACACCAAATAACATGGGCAGAAATGGGCGGAGGAACTACAGGGAGAAGACATCCGAAAGCTATCCCAAATGATGTCATACACATCCAAACATAAGATCAATGAAGAGTATAAACACAATCCTGGTAATAAACCCAACATGGTATCATACACATCCAAAAGTAAGATAGATGGAGAGTATGAACACGGTTCTGGTAACAGCCCTAACACGGTGTCATACCCGAGGAGGTTGAAGACAATACAATCCTGAAGCTATGGCTTTGACACGAACAAGTTTATTGCTTAATAGGTTTTTCCACAAGGGACAACCAAATAACATATATTGGGCCTCACCCAATATAAGAACATCACCGGAAAATTTTTCGGAAGGAGACATACCGGAATCTAAGCTTCGACCACTTACAGGGACGGTGAATCTCGGAATAGGCGGCCATCGGAGAAGCTTGACCTTCTGATATTTCGCCAGAGCCAAGGCTAGCGACGACACGGAGGAGATCAGTGGAGGATGGAGGAGGACGGTGGTGGGGGTTCCCATTATAAGGAAATTAAGAAGTTAGACATCCCCAACATTGAAGAACCTGAGCCATTCACGACAGAGTACTTGTCATTATGATGAGCATGAAACTTGGGCCATGGTAAGTCGGGAGATGGGCTAATAACAATACAAAACATTTTGGGCCAAGCCCATATTTGATCACCACCAAAATCAATGTGAATCTTCGATAGAATGCAGAACGGGAGGTGGTGGCTCGGAGGACCGATGGTCCGATCGCCGGAGTAAAGATTGGAGCCAGCAGGGGACATTGGTGGGTCTAGATGTGGGAACAAAACGACAATGAAGATGGAAAGTCGCGAAGAGGCGGTGAATCTGGTGGGATTGGCGGATCTGGAGGCACGGTGGTAAGGGAGGGTCCGACGGCGCCGAAAAGAACCAAGCTCGGAGGTGAGAAGGATGTGCTGCCAGATTTGTTGCAAACGACGGCGAGAGAGTTGAAAGCGCACACATCATAGTGTATTCAAATGCCATGGAGAAACGAGGAAGATATCGAGAAGGCTGAAGGAGAGGATCTCACCGGCGACAAAAGCTCCGGCGGAAGACGAGGAAATGGTTCTTCGGGAGTAGTTTGAGTGACCCGAGAAAGATGAGCCGCGCACCTTCAGAAGGAGTCAGTGTGAGTGAAGGAGTAGCGGCGGAGAAGATCCATTCTGTTTCGGAGCAAAGCGATGAAGACTCCTCTGTTGTCGTGCCTGGGAGAGAAAGTATTAGGGCGACTCGTTCTTCGTTACCTTTCCTCCTGGTTACTTACTCAAATTGCTCGTATAATCTAGGGGCAATTACAAAATGCGTACACATTTGCCAAGAATGCCACTTAGTGTCCATTTACAAAAATACCACT